AATTATTATTATTATTATTATTATTACCTGCGGTGGTGAGCTGCCCTCGCAGCCTCCGGATCTCCACCATGGCCTTGTACCGCAGCCCGTTGTCCTCGCAGAACCTGGGGGTGCAGCCGGCGTACTCGCAGGCCCCCACGGCCCCTGCAGACAGCAGTGCAAAGAAAAGAAAGAGCCAACGTTGAGGCAGGCGAGGCCTGTACACCAGAGAGCAGGCCGCTCGGTGGCTGAGCGCGTGAGCGACCGGGCCGGGTCGCTTGCTTCCAGAGAACCTTTGCTGTGAAAGGAGCCTCCCGCCTCGAACCCGAGCTATTGAAGAAGAAGAGCTGTGCGGCCCTGCTCCTCCCCCCCAGCCAGGTCCGCACCCCCACACCCCCGTCGCCAGCCTTACCCAGCATCACCATGATGTCCCCCAGCTGCAGCGACGCTCCCTGCCCTGCCCACAGCCTCCTCATCTGGTTGAGCCGCGCCCTCCGCTGGGTCAGCACGCCCTGCTCCTCCTCGCTGCCCGCTGGCCTGCAACACAGGAGAGACAGATGGGGGGAGAGGGGGGGGGGGTGACCAATCGGCAGAGTCTGAGGGTCATCAGATCCCGGCCTGGAGATCTGCTGCCCAGCAGGTCTCACAGGAACACAGCCCCAGGCCCAGGGAGGGTCATCAGATCCCAGCCTGGAGATCTGCTGGTCCCAGAGATCATCCCAAAGACGGCGCGGCCTGGTTGCGGGATTGAAAATGCGCCTGGAGAGGAAAACTGGTGACCCACAGCCAGCAGAACTGGAGCTACAGGTTCTTGAACACCAGGCCCGGTGCATGAGGTGTTTGCAGGAGAGAGGCAGCGCCTACCGGTCCAGCTCCTGGAAGATCTCGCGCACCGTCATGGCGGCGACCACGGCGATGACGTAGGGGAGGCAGCCCTCCTGACGCCCCAGCGCCAGCATCTTGGCGTAGCGCGGCGCCACGGGGAAGGACGCCATCACGCGGCCCAGGGGGGTGATGGGACAGCTCAGCCGGGCCCGCTCCAACACCTTCAGCCTGGGGAACAAGGGAAGTGAAAACCCCGTTATAAACGGACTCCTGCCACACAACAGCCAGCGGCAGGATCCAGGAAGTAGGCCGGTGCCGGGGTCGGAGTATTTCAAGCTCAGCAGAGGAGCTCTGCATGGGCCGACACGTGGAGTCAACATTCACACCGTTACAGCTTCAGGGGCACAAGCTCTGTATCGGGAGCCTGAAGTGCTCACTCAGCATTGCAGACTGCACTGCAGGTCCTCTGCCCAGGAGTGCCAACCATTGCTGGTTGCTGCTGGAAGAGGTGTTAGCAGGGCCAGCAGGGGGCGCTCACCCTGCGGTCTGTGTGGGTCCTAATGCCCCAGTATAGTGATGGGGACACTATACTGTAAACAGGCACCGTCCTTCGAATGAGACATAAAACCAAGGTCCTGACTCTCTTTGCTCATTAAAAATCCCAGGGCGGTTCTCGAAAAGAGTAGGGGTGTAACCCCGGCGTCCTGGACAAATTTTCCATTGGCCCTTACCAATCATGGCCTCCTAATAATCCCCATCTATGAATTGGCTTCATTACTCTGCTCTCCTCCCCACAAATATCTGATGTGTGGTGAGGGTTCTGGCGCATTATGGCTGCCGTCGCATCATCCAGGTGGGGCTGCACACTGGTGGTGGAGGGGATCCCCATTACCTGTAAAGCGCTTTGAGTGGAGTGTCCAGAAAAGCGCTATAGAAGTGTAAGCAATTATTATTCCTTCAAACATGCTGCTTTGGCCCCCAAGCATATCGACCACATTCCTTCTGTAAAACACTGTTTTAACCTTGGGGCACAAACTCACTGTGCCACACACACTCACTGGGCAAAACCCCCCTCTTCGACTCTCTCACACTCTCTGACCCTAGACTCAGCGACATGAGGCGAGGGAGACACGCCACTCCTTGCCCAAACTCATCACTCAGTTGGGGCTCCACCCCCCTCACCGGCCAGTCTTGGGGGGCTCCTCCAGGGCCCCCAGTGACACCAGCAGCTCCTCGGCGGCGATCAGGGCCTCGGTGGACGGTGGCGTGGGGAATGGGAAGTTTATCACCTGCGCAGGGAAGAGAACACGTCCGTGAAGACACTGGACCGGTTGAGAGAGGAGAACAAACACAGTGGCCTTTCGGGCCGCTAACTCAGGGTAGATGGCCACTGCCTGGGGCTGTCTTCCTAGCGCATGGACGGAAACTTCTACGTGCAGAGAAAGGCAGAGCTCAAGAGCAGAGGAAATGTTTCGCAGCCTCCGTGTTGAGGACCACACACGCTGGAACGCAGCTCTGCTGGTGATGGCCAGAGACTCCTCAGCGTGGGAAGGGTGCAGAATCACAACTGACCAAAACTGACGGCGCCGTGTCTCTAGAGAGCAGTGCCGAGACAGCCCTGCATGAATCGTTCCTGCCCTTCCGTTCCGAGATGTCCCGGGAGAAGCGGAGGCCCAGCCCCTGAGCCCCCCCCAGCAAACCACATGGCTCTCACAGTGGGAAGCAAGGTGTCACCCTGCCCTGCCTCATGCCCCACCCCTACACCTGTTATGTCCCACCACTATACACACAGTGCCCCGCCCCCTACCCAC